CAGTCCAGAAGCTTGAAAACATCTTCCAATGCAGCGGTAAAGAGTTTCGGGGATATGACGTCACCCTGTCTTACACCTCTCTGCAATTTGATAGGTTTCGTACTCTGGTTCTGTACTCGGATAGCCATCGTAGCCCTACTGTACAAGCACTTCAACACTTCGATATACCGACAGTCAACTTGGCATCGCTGAAGGGACTGCAGCACCGCCCAAATTTCGACGGAATCAAAGGCTTTCTCATAGTCCACATACGCCAGACATAGTGGCAAATTGTACTCCTCGGACTTCTGTACAATTTGCCGAAGGGTATGTATGTGGTCTATGGTGCTAAAGCCTTTTCGGAAACCGGCTTGTTCGGGAGGCTGGAAGTCGTCAAGTCTGCGCACGAGACGATTCGTAATGACTCTCGAAAACAGCACGTAGACGCGGCTCAGAAGGGAAATCGGTCTGTAGTTCTTCAAGAGAGCGTTGTCGCCTTTCTTGAAGAACAAGACCACCGCACTTCTGCTCCACGCCTCCGGTGTAATGCCACCATGGAGGACGGAATTAAAGAGCTTCTGAAGGACTTCAAGTACCGGTTTTCCACCCGCTTTCAGAAGCTCCGCTGTAATTCCATCCTCGCCTGGGGCCTTGCCGTTTTTAAGGTGCTGGAGAGCCATTCTAATCTCGCTCAGACTGTCGTCCGGGATATCATCGGAATAATGTCGGATAAGACTCGCTCTTGGATCGTTACTCACACTTGCGTGCGGCTCCAACGATGACGTGTACAGCTGCCCATAGAACCTCTCAATCTCACTCAAAATCTCAGGTGCCCCGGAAACGATGCTGCCACAGTCTGTCTTCAGCTTTGACAGTTGGCGCTTTCTGGCAGACAGATCTCTGGCAAAGACTTTGGAGCCTTGATTCCGCTCAATCGCTTCTTCAATACGAGCTGTATTGAATTTGCGTAAGTCCCGCCGCATGCATTTGGAGATCTGTCTGTTCAGTTGCCTGTATGCTGTTAAATCTGTTGAAGAATGTAGCTTCATCTCCCGTCTAACAGCCATGGGATTAAGAGTGTGATCGGAGAGTTTTTGTGTTCTTCTGCGGCGGGTCTTGCAGAACTTAGCTCCGACCGCATGGACAGTTTCCACGAGCTTGTCATTCAAATCGAAAATCCAAAAAATCCAAAGAAGTTAATTATTACTAAATTTCATAAAATGTAAATGATCATAATAATATTTTCAAAGAACTAATTAAGTGCACCGTTTGTTTTAAAATAAAGTTGATATCAATTTGAGAATAAAACAAGAATACGGAACCAGTTCCTCAGAATTATCAGAAAGATGTTAGGCAGTGGTTTGACGACCACGTTACTTAATGGCGAGAGAAGTTGATTGCTGATTCGTAGATTCTAAGGTTGTTTGTGTCTCACAATTTAAAGTTTTAGGTTAAAAAAACACAATCACACAATCTCTGTCACAGAATTCGTATTTACGCTTTTGCATCTTGCAATATCAATGGTAATATTTAAGAAGCGTATATTTATGATACCCTAACAATCAGATTGTGGCCATAATCGACCAGGAGGACACTTCTAAAACTACACTTTTAAGAAATTTTATGCTTGCCTGCTACTGCGTTATTTTAAATTTATTACAACGCGGCTACCTACGCTCGTTTGAATGTCGTAATTTAATATTTTTTAAAACCATCATTTAATATTTTTAAAATATTGTGAATAACTTAATATTACACATTGGAGCCAGCGGGGTACGAAGTTAGTTCGCTTAACCGGTTAATTGTATTTTATAGTTAACACGTGCCCGATGTTGAAGGGAAATATCGTGAACAAAGAAACCTACATGCCTGAGAGATTTCAAAGACATGTGAAGTCCACTAATACACATAGGAGCAGCACGGCGGCCCAGTTGGTCTATATTCCTCCCAGGAATGAGCTCTACATTGGGACCTACATATATAGGCCTAAACTTCACTATATTTATTCCGTTTCCGTTACAGCCTATTAAAAAGTTCACCGCTGAACATAAGCGTACCATACATTGCCTCATATGGGGATATTTATCTTCATTGCCACGCGTGGTAGACATGTTGACAATCCTCTTTATTATTTTCAGTTTTAATCACAAAACATGTCAATTTATGCCCATTCACTGTTTCAGTTTCCCTATGTCGCTTCTTATAGCACCTACGAGAATATCAAATAATGTCACAAACGTACACTGCATATGATAATCGACAGTCCATATGTCCTAAGTTAATTTAAGATTACTCGTTTTCTTTACTAGTTATTACGCCTATGCGTCGACGACGATTTAAGCTTATTATGGACTAGCTAGCCTCGACACTTCATTGATTTTTTTTTATAGGAGAGGGGGCAAACGAGCATACGGCTCACCTGATGGTAAGTGAATACCGCTATGAACAACTGCAACACCAAGAGAATTGCAGGTGCGTTGCCGGCCTTTAATACCTATATATTACATAGGTCTACATTTTTTAACGTTTTCCTAATGAACGCAGACATACATTATTTATTATTTATGCACCTTAAGTTCTGAACTGTATACTTTGAAGTTTGTTTGTAGTAAGATAGTTAATTTTTAAAACTTTTTTGTGGTAAGTAGAATTTCACTGTCAGTTCAAAACAGAGAAACAAGAGAATATTTCGACTTTTACGCGTCTCACTCTTAGTTCTTGGTTTTAACTTGGTTGAAGATATTTCTGTAAGGGTTTGTAAATATAGAATTAGTATTAAATATATAAGGCATTTAACTATAGAAGATTTATGACCATAACTTGTACAGAATTCTCCAATAACACGTATATCACGTGTATACTGTATACAAAGTATGTGTAAAAAACATAGTCACACTGGACATTGGTTGTGACGCGGTCACACATTTTTTATGAAAGAATGTAACGATAATTTAGAAAATTAATTAGTCACTAACTTTATGGTAAACTTAACTTTTATTCATGTTACAAAAATTATTATCTATCTTTTTTTCGTTAAACTTATTTTTGTTCCAACTACCATTAAAATAGGCAAATTATAAACACTGCTACTGTTTTAGAATGATATGTTCTCCTATAATTGGTAGTACATAGTAATTTGTAGATTATTAATATGTACAACTGTTGGAGATACATACAAATAAATAAATAATTAAGAGAAGAAAGCCATCGAGTTAGCTTTGTCAAGACAATTCAATGTACAACGTTGTGTCGTAAAATCTAATATAGGTATCTACTATTAAGGGCAGGGCAGTAGCGGTGAAGATAACGAGTGAAACTATTTAAATGAAACTAGTTTTTACGGGTTTTATTGCGTATCTTAACTTATTTTATATTCCCAACGTTTTGAGCCCTTTACCCTAGGTCACAGGGCCGACTGAGGTGTTCGATGTCCCAATGTCATAATCAACCACGGCTACCTCCAGATTAAAATGATTAATTTTTGGTCCGATCTACGCAGTATGAATCTACAGTATCTTGAAGTCTTGCAGTTGTATGTTTGGGTTGGGATTTAATATTATTAATTATAGGATCCCAATCAGATGGTAGCACCCAGCCACCTTTTATATTGACATTAGGATGTTTTTTGATTTCAATAGCTTCACTAATGATTCTTGGAATGATACGGTGCTCTTTAGCGAGGATTTGTGGTCTATCAAATCTGATCTAGTGACAGGGGAAATACTGTGCGTGTTCACGGACTGCAGACTTCCCGGAGGGTCGATTCTTTACATCAGCTATGTGTTCTTTAACGCGGGTTTTTATTGGTCTTTTAGTTTGTCCTATATCAGAGAGACCATATTCACAATCAATTTTGTACACTCCTGCGTGTTGCAGAGGAAATATAACACTTGACTGATGGTAAAAACTGACTAATCTTCGGCGTGCTCGTAGTGTTCTTGTGCTCGAAACGTCAGGAATATAAAAGCGATAATATCCGCAAAAACTAGTTATGTTTAAATGTGTAGTGTTCGCGTAAACATAAGAAATTATTAACTATAATCATGTTACTGCTACATTATTTGGATGTTAATTGTCCTTTTGATATTTGATTGAATAACTTGTTTAAAGACGTTATGCGGGTCACTTGTAAATCTGTGCTATGATTTTTAATAAATGGTTTAATATATAGTCATAATCAGTCTGGCAGAAGTTGTAAAAATACACTTTGAAAGCTTAATACGTATGTTGTATATAGTTGAAATAAAAACAACTTTTAAGAATTTAACAGCTCATCACGAGTCTCTTGTTCAGCGTTGTCAATGAACTTGTGACAGAAAGATAAATCAATTGATATATTTTTTTTTATCTCTTCATTTATTTAGGTATTTTTGTTTGTAGATAAATGTCAATACCATTATAACCATTAATCTGTACATACATCAAATTAAAACGTGGACATCAATGGGACAGTATTTAAAAACGTTAGCTAAGGCAAGAAACTGCTATCATATGATAAGTAAAATCAAACGATGATAATAGTAGCTTTTTTAAATTATATTAATATCTACAATGCTCAGAATATGTACGTACATAGATATTATTTATTTCTGCGTAGCTCCATGAAATCTACGAATGTGACTATTTTTATTGTTTATCTAATTGTCGTTATTAGCAGAACATAGCAGACGGATAAACCTTATCAGTGTTATTCGATGCGTATTGTGAGCTACAAAGGGGGCGGATCTCCTGCGATAGCTTCTTTTTTCATGCGTGGAACCCTGGAACCTTTGCGTCATAGAATATATAATAGATAGTACTATAGTACGTATACATAAATACGTTCAAATTATTAAAACTATGTGTAAACCTAGTATATAAGTTCAATGGACCGTAAAGAATTGTGTGTTTTCTTTTTGTGGGTGACATTAATTCTGAATTTAAACAAGCGCACGTTAGGATACTGAGTCGAGAGAATGCTTGGACAAACACGAAGGCTTGTAAGGAGATCTTACTAGTTACTAGTACATACATAGCAATCCGACAGTAAGAGACGCGCCGCGGAGCGCTGCGCATGCGCCATAAACCGGCGCCAAATTGCATATATTTAAAACAAAACTTTATTTCATTTGCCGTTTTGTGATATTATTAATAGTGCCACAGTACTTAGTACCTTTTTTAGTCGTCAATCTAGTTTTTTTTTTCTGTGAGCGCGGACCGGTCACAATTCTTCGCCTTGTTTATGTAAGTTCGTGGAAATCTACCTGTTCCTGTTTGTTGCGTTTTAACTAAATCGATTGAACATACCCAACGGCGCACTTATACGTGCTGGTATTGTAGTATTGATAGTTTTGTTAATTATTTTGAAACAAATTATTTTCTTAATAGAAATGCTTGTATATATATTATTTTATTTTTGTATGTGAATGCTTGAACAATTGGGCGCTGGAGGTCACTTTGAATCTGCTTGACGTTGCCGTTTTCCGGGCACGTGAGTGTGACTCGCTCTTGACCCACTTGAAATGATCCATAAGCGAATATGTTAAGTCCTCAAATCCACACACAAATCCGCTCAAAACATTATTGATAAGATGATAAGTTGATAAGTGACCACTCGAAAACTTTAACGTAGGTAGGTACTTCCCGCGCTTATCAAACGTTGAATTAATGATAAAATTATAACAGTAAATATTTTTATAATTAACAAATTTAACTAGCAGAGATGATTCACAACAAAAAATAAATTACAATAACTATGCTAAATACAATTACATTGCAATAACTGCTGTATAAAATTCCAATGAATTGCAATCATGATATTATATTATATCATTGTTTAATAAATTTAGTTATCGAAAGTTGCCTGCTACGATTAGCACGATTTAGAAAAGTATTTTAAAATCAATGGCATTGAACGTTGATTTGTTATGAAGTTAACAATTACTAATAATTTCATTTTTAATTTTAAAGGCTACTGAAGCAATTATAACCGAACTAACGATAGAAAAGTGAACGCAACTGCTTCATGCAAAAGATAGACTACAGTACGTACTATTATTTGTTCTGAATATTATACATGAATTTTGAATATTATATATGAATTTTATACGTGGTAGAGCCATGCTACAGCTATAATGGTAGTATAGTTGTAGGACAAATGGGTCGGCTCGACCGGGGAAGGACCACGCTCTCACAGAATACCAGCGTAAAATACCAGCTTAACACTGCTGTGTTTCGTATGGTGAGTGTAGAGAACCGGAGATCTTTTTTACTGGAAAAGAAGCATTCCATCTTAGTCCTTACGGGTGACAACGCATCTGCATTTTGATTTTTTATTGAGGATAGATGTAGATGTCTATGGGTCACAGCAACCAATTACCATCAGGTGGACTGTGTGCTCGTTTGTCACCCTATGCTATAAAACAAAACGAATAAATATTGTCTTAATTCTTTTGGTCGTAGATAAAAGAGAGAATATTATGTTGCACCTAATAATAGATAAAGGTAATTTACCCATTTAATGATAATTATGTCTTAAATTTATCTAGTGGGTAGGTTCAAAACATTACGACATCACCTTAAAATTTTATTCATGTACTAGCTGTTCCCCGTGACATCGCCCGTGTGTAATTTAGGGTTTTAATTTTTTTGCGAGGAACCCAATTCATTTTCTAAAATAAAAGTAGTCTAAGCCTAATCTTTTTTTTACTCCTTATGACATCAGCTATCTGCCAGTTTAAATGCCTGCCAATTTAGGGTTTTAATTATGTTGCGCGGAACCCTAATTCTTTTTCTAATATATAATTAGCCTAAGTTACTCCTTATAACTTCTGCTATCTGCCATTGAAAGTCTCGTCAAAATCGGTTTAGCCATTTCGGAGATTAGCCGGAACAAACAGACAGGCAATTTTTTTTAAATTGTATTTTTGTTATAAGTAACGTACATTTTCATATGCATTGAGTAAAAAGCTATAATTTTGACATTACAAACAGACACTTCAACTTTATTTATTTGTGTATATATAGATAATAACAATAATCTATTGATAATTTTTATTTGTTTAATCTTTATTATAAACTCCCTATACTAAATGTTAAGATAAGAATTAGGGGCTCCCTACCTTCATTCGTTATAAGACAACGCTCTTGAGCTAGGAATATATTGTAGCACCGACCGATTGAGTCAAAAATGAAATCTGATTTTTACTGACCATAAAAACTAATCTGTTACCAAAACTTAAATAATTGTTCTGATGACAAATTTATATTCATAGACCGAGTGGAAACCGGAAGTTTATTTCAACAGAAATCAATCCACAACCAAAAGATTACAAAATGCTAGTAAAACGGTAATTTTTTAAATTAGTTTAGACGACGAATTTTTATTGTATATCATACTGTTGTAGATTTTGAAATGGTCACTTTTCACAACAAATTCATATTCCTGTGATGCGGTCAAGTGGAAGTAGCTGGCACTCGGGAGCTCCTGCCCAGAGATGGGAGCAGTATTCCATGTGAGGCAGAACCTGTGCCTTGTAAAGTTGCAAGCGGTGTGCCGGCATGAAATACTGTCCCGCTCTGCTGAGCACGCCAAGCTTTTTAGAGGACAATTTGGCCTTCTCTTCCAAGTGACCACAAAACTGCACGTCACTCGATATGTCGACACCGAGGATTCCAATACTGGCTGAGGCAACAAGGGGAGTGCCTTGAAACTGAGGAGATACGACAAAGGGCGAGAAATATTTGCACAGCTGGTGTATAAAGCTACTTTTGCAATATTGACCTTAGACGTCTTCTAGAAGTTTCTTTCACACTAAGATACTTCTAGTCTTTCTCTCTATTGACTGAGATTTTGTTGGGGTTTTTTCATTCTATGAAAGAGTAGATCCTAGGGGTTATTTTGAATACATAACTCATTTTTGACGCGACTGTGATTTGAATCTTTTTTGTGTAACTACGTCCAATTAGACTTCTAAATTCAATGCGTGTTGGTAGATTTCAAAACAAATATAATTTTTCGTGTAAAAACGTGCCACATGACTCAATAGGCGAGAGCGACAAAGATGTTATCATCTGTCTTCTTACTTTGTTTCTTTGAAATAAAAATACAATAGCTGTCACAGACAATGTGTTATCAGGGTAATTGTTTCGCTGTCGACTAAGACACAACAATGATTATCCTGTTTTTTTTTTTTCACTTATCATAAGTCGGTGCTTGACTTCGATCCCACTTGCTGGTAATGGATCCGTAGATCGTAAATTGTACTGTTTTAGCGTAAGTAGGCCTATTCACTCTTGCTTTGAAGAATTCAGATTGTGATCGCACTAAAAGATAGACGCTGGTGAAATTATTCCACTCGTTTGCTGCATTACGAAAGACAATTAGTTCGTATGTGTGGAATGTGTTGACAATGGGGTGGAAACTCGCCGAGTTAGTAACGAGATGCTGGAAGGGTGAAGAATTAAAACATGTCATTCCTGCTCACACTTTCCGGAATGTATAATAGAATAGTGACAAGTTTAATCATTTTAAAATAATTTATTGACTACATTTATTTACCTGTTTCGTATAAGTTACGCACAGTGCATATGAGGGGAATAGGCTACACTTTAGATCATTGCTACTACTCGCTTTTACTTCTAGCAGGTTAGTTACCTTTTATATTTTCAGTTATTTTAAGGAAATTCCGATTTTAAAACCTATTGCCCCGAAAAACTCTGCTCCTTACACATAATCTTAATACGAGTGCCTCACACTAAATAGTGCCGTATTGTAGCGGGGTAAACGAAACCATCACACCATTTTGTCCATTTTTCCCTTTCCATAAAAAGCGACAGAGAAACCAACTAGGAAATGGGCAGCAACATCTTGCGAATAACAACTAAAACATACAGTTTAAGTGATGATGCCTAGTTTATTTAAATTATCATATAACGAAAATGTCGAAATCTTTGCAACGTTATCGTCATCAAATATTTACACGTAGGAAAATTTTACTTATTTTACGGAAGATTGCTTGCGTAGTTTATGACTCACTGTATGCCGCAGCTAATGGCCGCCGCAGGTGATTAAAAAAGATAAGACTGTCGTGTTCAAAGAAAATACTTTGTTTTCTGTTTTAATAAAAAAATTATATTTATTATTACATGCTAGCTTTTTAAACCTTCGTAGTAACTACGCATTAATTCTTCGGCTAGTAATAATAACTTGTTTTTTATATAACAACTAGCTTTTCGCAGCGCGGTGTTACGCGCGTCCAAGTTGTAACGTCCTCACAGTGACCAACGCTTATTATCATATCGTATTATACGGAGAGCTCAAGCTAAATATCAAAAATTAAATAATAACTCATACTTCGGTATAATAATGATCGCAGATTTTAAGTTAGACTAAGGCCTTTCGACACAGTCTAACTACTAATAGACTCTACTTGCGAATAGTTAAAACTACTATATCAATTTTCTCTTCGTTCTCCAGTACATTCATCCTCCTCTTTCAATAAAATATTTTATGTTAAAGCTGTTACCTTGTGGAACTGCTTGCCACTATTATTTTATTTTATTTTTTTAACTTAATTATACCATTTTATAAAACACCTCCTTCTGACTCGTTCGTTATAAACAATTCTTTGTGTAATATAATTGACTGCAAGAAATCACAAAACATTTATTTTATTTACAGAGTACTTTCAGTAAGTTTCGAGTCGATCGCTCGGTAAAATAAAAACATTTGTATAAACTGTAACACCATATTTAACCCACTTAGGGCTTGAATTTTCCAAAATCCTTTATTGGTGGATGTCTACGTTATAAAAGACGGCTACTCTCCATATTTGTTTAGGTCTAACGGTTTTGGCTATGCGTTGATAGATGAGTCAATCACTCAGGACATCCTCTTTATTTACTCGTATATATAGATAAATGAATAAATCTTTCCATTACCCGTACATCCATTACAGCTTATAAAAGTACACTGCTGATAGGCCTCCCCCATAGATTGCTTCATAGCGGGGATTTTGCCATAGTGGTCACGCTAGGCAGGCGGGTTTCCAATTGCAGTTTTTAATTATTTTGTGTTGTTATCAGGAAGATGCTGCTGCCCATCTCCTGTTTCAGTTTCCCTTCGTAGCCTCAGACGACACCCATAAGACGATATGGAATGGTGGATATTCTTACAACGTCACTATATAGTCAATTTTTATTAGATATCTATTATATTTTATGGGGAGATATGCCAACTGTAACACAGCTGCTACGAGACTGACAACTAATTGATGGGGAAAATCCATCTAAAAATACTAAACCCAAAAGTCGTAATGGAATTCAGCCTTATCACTAACCCGCCTGTCTACATATAAATATGTATATAATCTTTGTAGACAGGCAAATTTAATTTATCTCCGAATAAAAGTCAAAACCATTTATTTCTATTTCCGTAATTGAGTTATGCTCAGATTATGAGTTATGCTATGATTTTCCGCCGTGTAGTGGCGGACTGGCGGACGAATTAGACCTTCCGCCGCCGTCACCGTGTAGTAGGGGCGTAAGAGAATCCACTATAGTTATTCTATTTCACGATGAAGTTTTGAATTTGGTTGTTTTTAGCCGTGCACATACACATTGTGTTAGTGTTCGTAGGCTGCGGGCGCTCGGGAGTAGCGCTCCCAAGGCCTACGCACACTTACACAATGTGTATGTGCACGGCTAACAACAACTAAAGTGAAAACTTTTTCGTGAAATAGAATAATACCTCATATCATCCCGTGGGTGCTGTAAAAGGCGACAGAGGGAAATGAAACACAGGTGATGGGCAGCAGCATCTTTTCTTTCTCTATGGTATCTATATGGTGACAAACGAGCCCACAGTTCACTGATGGTAAGTGGTTGCTGTGACCTATAGACATCGACATCTATCCTCGTTTGCGAATCAAAATGCAGATGCGTTGTCTCCCGTTAGGACTAAGTTGGAATGCCTCTTTTCCAGTAAAATAGGTCTCCATTTGTCTACACTCACCATACGAAACACAGCAGTATTAATAAAATAAACTTAATAAAGCTGCTATTTTACGCTGGTATTCTGTGAGAGCGTGGTCCTTCCCCGGTCGAGCCGACCCATTCGTGCTACAGCTATACTTACTAATATAGGTGCAACATGGCTCTACCACATGTATCGTCTTAATAATCATCGTCTTCTTAATAACAACTCAAAATAATAAAAAAAACTGTGATTGGCAAGCGAGCCAACTATGCATATATAACAAAATGCCAAAAATAAGGGCAAACGGTAAGGGAGTTCTGTGTTCCTCAGTGGACTTTTGATATTCTGTAATAGTATGCTTTATGTATGGTATGTAAAACAGTATGGGAAACTAAAATACGATACATTTGTTTACGAATGAAAAGTAACAAAGTTACAGCCTATACCTATAATAACTACATCTGTTCTTTCGATTGCATACGTGCCGTCTCGTATGGTATGGTATGGTAGATAAGATATACATAGGACATCTATTTATAAAATCCAAATAATTTTACTAGTATGTAATCTACAGAGTAATTCTTCACTTTTTTACTTTCGATATGCTTCACGTTTAAGTATCAATCCTAAAATCTAATTGATTAGATGCCGACTACTGTTACAAACACAAAGCCAAGTCGTCAGAGCATTATTATCATTGATAAAGTGTACAAAATCAAATTCTGAAGCTTATCTATGAATCTTAATTGCTTTTCGTCATAAATTATTAAATTTTCTTGGAAGTGTTTTTGTTAAATCATTTATAAAATACAGTAATGGCATGAGTTTGTCAAATTATAATCATTAATTCTTAAGGTCCTACTGTTATGGCTAGTGAACCTTTATGATTTGGTTCTGACCTTTTGAAACTATCTATCTGATATACTATCCGATATAATATATAGGATAGATAATTTAAGAATGTTGTATATATATTTATATATATATATATATATATATATATATATATATATATACACAGTAAGACCCGCTTAAGACGATTTTGAAGGGACCCAGCCAAAATCGCGACTTAAGCGGGAAAGCGTCTTATGCGGGATAGGGAAAATAAAACATCATTTACAAATATTGTGTAGGTATTGAATTATAGGTAAAAAATTATACGTAACTTGCTTGTCGCATTCGGAGGTAAGAAAACAAGCGTGATGTTCTTTAGTTCAACATCTTTAGGGTGAGCGGGGCAGTTATCAATGAAGAGAATTATGCGTCTACATTTAATCTGGATCTGATCATCTAAAGCTTTTAACCAGTTAATAAAACGAAGGCCGATCATCCAAGCTCAAGATTGTGCATCATATTACAGGGAACGATTTCACGTTTTTGAAGCAACGTGGATTTTACCAATGACTAGTAAACGTAACTTTTCCGACCCATCAGAATTCAAAAGAGAGACTCACTATCCTTAGTGAGTCTCTCTTTAATTGCTTTGCCACCATGGCAAGTTTCTCCCTAGAAGACATACGATTTATCTGGCATCAATTTATAAAATAAACCAAATTCGTCTGCGTTAAAAATGTTTCGCGGTTCATAATTTTTTAATAATGCAGGAAATTGTGCTATCCATGTATCAACATCTTGTTTTGCCACTATCTCCGATTCCCCAGTGATTTGACGATACACAATGCCGTGACGATTTTTAAAACGATCTATCCATTTGAAGTGGTAAAATCTGTGATTTGTATGCTTTCAGCAATTTTACGCGCTTTTTCGCATATATGGGGCCACTTATGGGCAGTTTTAAAGCTCGTGCTTGATGAAGTCATTTCACTAAAACTTTCTCTAATTGATCAAACTTTCCCACCTTTTGCTTTTTTCTCTTCACACCTCCCAATCTGTATTTTTCGTTAATTTCTTGTCTATTCTTTAAAATGGTACTACTTTATAATGCAACTCGGCTCGGCTCGGGTGTTGCACAGATGGCGTATTAGACGGGATGACGAATCGTATTAAGCGTGTTAAAAATGTATGAAAACATGCCTCGAGTTGCAGCGACTGACATAAAATGGCGTATTGTACGAGAAATCGTATTGAACGTGATCGTACTCGTACTAAGCGAGTTTTACTGTATATATATACACACAACATGTAACAGAAACCCTGTGATTCCCGTTAAGTACGTTATCAGGATCAATATTCAAACTATGGAGTGTAGAGAGAAGGAAGATCATCTCTATATATGAAAAGTGTCCCTAAAAACGTGTCCAATAAGGGTGGTAGCATAGGATAAATTAAAAAAAAAGCGCCAAAAGTAATTAGAATAAGATGGAGAAATAAACAAGAACCGACCAATCTGCTTGGTTTTGTAATACGTAAATAGTTGAGATTTTGTATACTGGCATTTTACTCATCTGACTTCACTCCGTTCACAACAACTATCTTTTTATATTATATAAAAATTAACTAGTTTTTCAGACGCTATTGTGGTAGGTTTTGGAACCTCTATTTTCAGTAAATAGTAGGACACTTTTTCAACCTTCGCCCCTTATAAGATGGTTCTCCTTGGTACTCTACACTCCATAATTCAAACCTATAGAAATAACGTTTTTTTTTAAACTCGACCATATTTTTTTTTTATTTTTTTTTATTTTATGTGGTTTTATTACATCGTACAGACACTAGCCGATGCTAAAGCTAAGTAAAGCGGGGTCTTTGACAATCCTCTTACTCCCCAGACAATGTAGAGGTAATAAACCACTTATAATTTGCACACAATTATTTTTTTAAATAGAATAAAAAAAATATTGTTCGAGTTTTAAAAAAAGTTATTTCTATTGGTTTGATTAATGATCCTGATAACGTACTTAACAGGAACCACAGGGTTTTTGTTACATATTGTATATATTTTGTTACATATTATATATATATATATATATCAGTGCGACCCGCCCCGGCTTCGCATGGGTAATTTTTGGATATATACAGATATAAAGATAATAATGTACTCGTAGAATATTTGACCGACGATGAAACTGAGGAGCATACTCGCCTATTATACTCGTAGGTCGCTATCTTAGGATAACAATTGATTTATTTATCTCAGTAATGAGAGGAGGCCTCTGCCCAGCAGTGGGTCGTATATAGGCTGTAAAAAAAATTAAGAAATATATAAAATAAGTATAAGTATTACGCACTTCCATTGGATACAGAATTAAATTATGCAAAATAATATGCAAAATAATTCTTGACATTCTATGTTGTTTTAGCGGTTAACTTTAGTTTTCTTAGTTTTCGGCCGTAACTATTATGTAAAAGGGCCCCATTAAGGCTTGCAAAATTATTCCTGGGAATTTCACTTTATTTTTTTAATTAAAATGATGAACTTGCAGTTGCCACTTACCTAACGTGGACCGTTAGTCGGTCTCGGTCCACGTTAGGTAAGTGGCAACTGCAGCCCATGGATGCCGTGCCATTAAAATGGAATGCCTCACAGCCTGTTAGTACTCGTATATTGTCTCTTAACGATGTTTGGCGATAGAAACGGATGAGAGACTGTTACCAATTGGAGTTTACTCCAATTTCTTCAAATCTTAAGCTTTTCGGATTATTTTAAGCAATTATTTTGGCGATAATGACGGGTGACAGCCTTTTGAAGCGTTTTGAACCGAGATGTCTGAGAAAAATGTCTATGACAGATGGAAAGAAAACTAGACAATTCCACTGTTTGCTACTGTTTTGCTACGAGTAAATAAAGTACCTGCGGATACTTTAAAAATGTAGATAAAATATAGGCACTTCTAATTACTTTTGCCTTCTTTTCGCTGCCGTTTTATAGACATTATTCTAGAATGATATCATTTAATTTCACGTTAAAAATACAATCACAAAATTTAATTACTTACATGATTACTAAGAAATATCATTAATTTATTCATGCAGGCACATCAGCTGGCGGAAATATTATCAGTAAAAAGTAGATATGGAACAAGCAATTACAAAAAGCGCAAATTGGAATGATGGAGGTAAGAATATACCTAATTAAGTAAAAAATTTACGTCCTATATATAAATATTTAATTTTAACAGGTCTCTTATTTTAGTAGGGTTACTGAGCAGAATAGAATCTGCCATATTGCTTAAGTGCAAAATAATAATTACCGTGTAGTGACGGCGTAAAATAATCCCCTACTCCATATCATCGTAAGTAGCGACAGAGGGAAACAAACAGGAGATGGATAGAAGCATAGTCCTGATCATTAAAAAACCTTCGGTTAGGCTAACCCGCCTGCCACGTGGCAAGCGTGGCAACTATGCTATAACTAATATCACCTTTATCGTTCAGGAGTGGATTTTCGATGGGCTGTTAATGAATGAATAATTATAATAAGAGTTTTCGTCTGGTTTATCTATTTATTTAATTATGTATATGTTATTGCATTTATTCTAGTATTTATTTTTTTTATTTATAAAACGTTACCCCCACAGTAGGATTTTCTCCTGTACCGTGGTGACAGTTTATAAACATAAATTGCACGAGGTCAAACATCCACACCCGGAACAATTATTTATAGGCCATATAAATACTTGTTCCGTGTGGGATTTGAACTCGCGACCCCCAGCGCATCAACTCATTACTATGCCACTGCGCCACGCAGCCGTCAGTCAGTATGTATTATTCTATATAAGGAATTTATTTTGTTAACACTTTAACTGTCCGGTTTTTAGACACAATAGTAAGACAATAGCAATGACCTAATATGTAGTGCACGAGACAGCGAAAGGGTTAATACCTTTTTATATATAAAAATTAAGTATCACATTGTTTGTTCGCGATGAAGTCCTAAACTACTGAACTGATTTCAATGAAATTTTGCACACTGTGTGCAGTTTGGTCCATTTTGAGAGATAGGATATCTCAAAAGTTGGACCAAATTTTTGGCCTTTTATCCGATAAGTGACCCTCAATATTTTTTATTACGAATTTAAGGATTTTTTATAGGACAAAAGGTCAGAACAGAACAACGTCTGCATGGCCAGCTGGTATCTTTATATATTTTTATTTTATAAGTATTTATGTATCCCAACTAAAAGAGAACACAATAGAAATATTCCACAGAATACAAATAATTCATCTTACTTACCAGTCACATTGTTAAAACACCCCTTCAATTTTTTTTACATAAAGCAATTATGATCCAATAAGGGCTACAATTTACAGATTTATTGGACTCAACAGCTGATCCAAACATATCAATATCGACGATGCAAGAAGAGGTTCCAGCTTTAACAGCGGCTGCAATATTAGGCGTGACCGTGGTCGTCATTATCGCCATAGCAGTCGTTTTTATCTTGGGAGTACTTATCGACTGCCGGCAGCAGTAAGTTAGAAGCCTACATTTTTTGATGGCGTCCTCATCACTGTCGTCGTCATCGACATCTACTAGTAAAAGTCCGCTGGACTTGGCTGACTAGCCTTAATATTTGTAGATTGTCGATGGCAGTAACAGACTTCTCGCATCTTTGATGCTGCTCTCGGTCACCGGTCCGGAAAAAGTTATACCGCCATCTTTCTAAAATTTTGAACTCTTTCTTTTACACATGAAAAGCCCATGTTCCTGCGACATACTATTAGTGACTTTTTTAATTTTAACTAGTAAAGTACGTTTGTTTTGTATGATTGACGAGAACTATAAATTTATATTTTTTTTTATAGGAGAGATTATCGAGAACTATAGACTTACATATTTTTTTAAAGGCGAGGGGGCAAACGAGCATATAGGTCAGCTGATGGTAAGTGATTACTGCCGTCCATGAACAACTGAAACACCAGGAGAATTGCAGATGCGTCGCCGGCCTTTTAAAAAAGAGTACGCTCATTTCTTGAAAGTGCCTAAGTCGTATCGGTCCGGAAAAATATCTGGTGGTAGTCGATTCGAAGAACTTTCTTTAAAATTTTTAGTAGCGTTTGTTTATGACTAACTAAAGTTAAGGGTTTCTTAATGTAGTTAAATTAAATAGAATATTATATTTCAAAGAGTAGCCAAATTTTAAACTTAAGTTCAAATATATAAATAACGATATACCTTTATTGCAGTTTTTGCAAATACGAGTAAATAAGGCTTCTACTTTTATTTAAAATTATCCCAAATTGAATGTGATTTGTGGGCAACAACGTTTTTGGCTATCGATTGACCCTAACGAATGTGTGAGTGTGCAGTAAAATTAGTTAAAATAATCTAATACCACACATTTTGAATTTAAAAGATAAAAAGGACACAGATGTTTGTGATTTTTTTAAAACAATTTATGTATGCCGAATTACGAAGTTTCGAGTTTAAAGAGATGGAAGGAATACTTTGAAAGCCAGTTTATAAGTGAAGAGCCGTCTGAATTAAGTGAAATAGTAGTTCCGAAAGAAGTAGAGAGAGGTAGGGAGTTAAGTGTAGATGAAATAATGAAAGCAATGAAAAGCATGAAAGTAGGTTAGGCTGCCGGCTATGATAGCGTATCACTCGAAATGCTAAGGGCTAGAGAGGGAGTGGCGGCAGGCCTGCTGTACACCTTGTTTAATTTATGTTAGAAACTGAACCCGCTACCGGAAGACTGGTGCAAAGCCGTTATAGTCCCAATATATAAGGGAAAAGGGTCACAGCAGGACTGTAAAAAGTACCGTGTGCTAAGGTGTTAATTGAAAGAGCTATGGAAGAAACAGATGGAAAAATTTGGGATGTGCAAGCTGGATTTAGAAAGGCAATGGGGTGTATGGATCAAGTCTTTTCCATGCGCATGATTGCGGAGACGTTTTTGGCCAAAAACCAGAAAGTTTTTTGTGCGTTAATGGACTTGGAAAAGGCTTACGACAGAGTGAACAGGAATGTGTTATGGCAAACATTGAACTCATTTGGGTTGAGTGCTGGTTTGATACAGGCATTAAGGTCTCTTTATAGGGACTCTAGTGCTTGTGTCAGGATTAACGGGGTCTACTTGGACTGGATTGGCATCTGAAAAGGTGTCAGACAGGGCTGTGTGGCTTCCCCGTGGCTGTTTAACCTATTTATGGACAGTTGTTTGGAACCTTTGAAAGTTGAAGAATGTGGGTTGAGAATGGGTGCGTTAACCGTCAAATGCCTTTTATACACACCGATGATCAAGTCATATTTGCATCGTCGGCAGCAGAGTTGCAAATGATGGCTACAATAATGAACTGGTCATTAAAAGAAAGGGGTATGAAAGTGAACGTAAGTATGAAAGTAAGACGAAAGATGGTTTTTGAAAGAGAAGAAAGTAAAACGTTATGTAAAATAAGAATAGAAGAGGAGTTGATTAAGCAAGTGGATGACTTTGTATATTTGTGATGTGTATTTAGCAGGGATGGTAGATATGATAAGGATATAGAACGACGAGTGAACGCAGGAAATAGAGTGAATGGGGCTTTATACGCTATTATGAAAAGAAGAAGCACGAGAGTAAGATAATGCTGTAGAAATGCCGTCATTAAGGAGTATGCTAGGGCTGAATTTGAACGACAGGGTGGGAAATTATGTGATAAGAGAAAAAATGTGGTTTGCAACATGACGTTGTGACAAGGATTAAGAAAGGAATGCTTCGGTGATTTGATCATGTAAAAGGAATGAACAAAGAAAGGGTGACAAAGCAAATTTATTTTACAGAAGTGAAAAGCAGAGTCGGGAAGGAACGCCCTAGACGAAGGTTTATCGACCAAATCGGCAATATATTGAAAATGGGCCAGATTAGGAGTACCCTTAACCGATGAGCGTGTATGTGTAGGTATACTTATATGGATGAAAAGGAGGCGAGAAAGGTGTGTCAGGATCGTGCCAAATGGAAGTCCGTAGTCTCGTGAGTGTTTATGTTTAAAAAAACGTTTACTAATCAATTTATAATTTCAGGAGGATACTAGAGAAAAAGATCGGCGAGGTTAGAAGAAAGAAGAATCTCCGAAGGGTTAAGACACATCCACAAAATGATGTTGTCGGCATCGTAAACTGTATGGAAGATACAGGTCTAAGCGTCCCTCCGGTAGAGATCTTACGAGATATACCATAGCTTAGACATTTTATATTTATAGAACGACCGTGTAAATTCACATCACAAAACATTTTATATAAATACATTTTCGTTAAGGATTTCAAATGATCTGTTTAAAAATATTATCGGTACAAATTGAAATGATGTGTTAAAAACTATTTATGTGTCATAAAATAATACAGTAAATCTGTTATTGGCTTTGATCACGTACATTTACATATTGAAAAAAAAAACAAGCCTGTATGTGTAAGAAAATATTTAATTATTTACTCTTAAACATTTGCTGATATGTATATCAAATGTCGCATTATTTGATTGTTGGCAAAATCTGATTTAACTGATTTTAATAGAGAAAGCCTTCGTAAAATAGTCATATAATTTATAATAAATAGACTGTTTTGTTTTGTATAATTTGGTAAATGTTTTAGAATTAAGCAATCCTGGAAATGATCGTAATTATTAGTTCTGTAAATTTTATACTTAACGTTTTAATATTAATTTATTAAATATACAAATTTATATGTAGATATATAATTATATAATATGGAATAAAATATATGTTATGGTTTTCCAAGTCATCTTTTTTTTTACTTAAATATTAAGAAAAAAGCGTTTGAATTTCATATAAAATCCGGAAAGTAAGAAGCGATCATCGATTTTAATGTTTGACGAAACGAAAACGTTCGTATGTTGGCAAGAGAATATAGTAGAATAGGATAGAATGGAGTAGAATATATTTGAATAAAGTAGACAAAATAAAATTTAACGGAAAAGTACAGAACTGAACAGAATCGAATTGAATAAACTGGACGTTTATTTAATATAGAATATTTATTAAAAGTCATTATTGATTGTTCACTGGTTCGGACAACACACGTCTGCACTGGGGAGAGCTAGTAAGAAACCTAAATTACAATATAATACAACACAATCGTGATTATCAAACATGTAATTTGTTAATTGTATAATAACTTTTGCTTATTAAAATTTTTAAACTGTTTAATATAATATATCCGGCATATTTTCGGGGCCTTTGTTGTAAAAGCATATACATGGCCTTATGAAGGAAATACTGAATCTGGAGTCGAGTAACTCTCGTGCTTGTTCCATAAATACTTATTATTATAGTATTTTTTAACATTTTTCTTGGAGGTGATAACGTCAGTTATGTCACATATCTTGATACTGCCAAGCTTATCAAAACCTTTAGCTTATTACTTCGCGTTGGTATACGAGTACAATTATGAAATTTGACAAGAAGCAAGATTTCACCTCACAAGGAAAGGTAATCCGAAAATCCGATCATATAAAAAATATTTTTTTTTGTGATTACTAGCTTATATTTGCAATTGGAGCATCGACCATGATGTACACCGATGTAAGGGAGAAAACATTTTTTCACTACAAAATTTAGTTTGTTCTTCAATCCGACTTACCTTTTCGTTAGAGTAATGCTCGTTGCTTACCTAACCTATAATTCCCGCGATAAATGAACCTACCTACAAACGTAATGATAACGTACTTCAGACCGAATATCGGTCACTGTGGTCAGTTTTAACTTTTAACAGATACTAGCTAGCCATCTTCGCACAAAATTATAGTCAAAGATTATAGTAATTAAAGTGCAAGTGTGTGCGTAAACACAGGTGCACGATCTACGCTCACACTCTCATACTCCGATGGGACGGCAATCGGACACGACTGGAGAGACCAGGGGTCCCTGGTTTAGCCCTTACGACCACGAGACCAAGGAAGCAATCAACATACATTACGTTTATACGGAACCCTTAGGGCGCGAGTACTCGTACTTACACCGGACAACTGTTTTATTAAACAAATGTTTTATTAAAACTGTCTTCTCGATTTACTTGTTTAATCAACGACAACCCTATGTATTTAGAGGCGGCATTTTAGGAAAAAGGAAAATCCCCTTATTTTATGACACCAGTAAAATAAAAAAAAATAAGTAGCTTTCCACTATTTAAATGCAGCACTGTCCCGGCAGTACCGCATCACAAAAATTGAACCACTAAACGGCTTTATTAATGCTCACCTTACTACCTTACCTAGACCTGATATTTACGAGGAAAAAACAAAATAGCGTAATAACAAGGTCTGCCTGGCGAAACCTAGTGGCATGTTAATGAACACCTGTACATTGAACCGAACCCCGAGTCATTCCATCCCTTGTTTGGAGTGACATCTAACCAGCTGCACTGTAGTGATTATATCGTTACCGTTACAGCCTATTAAATTCCACTGCTGAAGGTAGGCCGCATCCGATTGTTACTTTTTACATACTTACAAAGTTTATATCAATATTACTTTTAAAATCAATAATTTCTTATGTGCTGATCATAAATGTTAACACGTAACACGTAGAGCCATGACGCTTATTAAGTTGAGTTATTTGTTATTTAATTAGAAAGATTTACTATCGTGTGATGGATGGACCATAAGACCGGTGGTCTCGTATAGTGCGAATGTTCTCACATTTTGTGATAACAGAAATGAATAAAAAATATTGGTAAATCCAATTGGGCATGCCTTAAGCGCATTAAAAAAATTACGTATATCATGATTATACGGATTTTTTTAAAGTAGTTTAAATACATTTCGACAGCACTGTCGGCTTCAACACCCTCAAAAACCATGAAAATGATACCCATGATGAAAAAATTGGTACCTACTTCAGCCGCCATCTTGGATTTACATTTCGACAGCACTATCGGCTTCAACACCCTCGAAACCCATGAAAATGACACCCATGATGAAAAAATTGATATAGTGCAGCCGCCACCTTGGATTTACATCTCGACAGCACTATCGGCTTCAACACCCGCGAAAACCATGAGAATGACACCCATGATGAAAAAAATTGATGTCTATTGCAGCCGCCATCTTGGATTTACATTTCGACAACCTTATCGGCTTCAACTCTCTCGAAAACTATGAAAATTACACCCATGATGAAAAAATTGATACCTATTGCAGCCGCCATCTTGGATTTACATTTTGACAGCACTATCGACTTCAACACCCTCGAAAACCATAAAAATGACACCCAAGATGAAGAAATTGATATCTATTGCAGCCGCCATCTTGGATTTACATTTCGACAGCACTATCGGCTTCAACACCCTCGAAAACCATGAAAATGACACCCATGATGAAAAAATTGGTACCTAATTCAGCTGCCATCCTGGATTTACATTTCGACAGCACTATCGGCTTCAGCACCCTCGAAAACCATGAAAATGTCACCCATGACAAAAAAATTGATACTACTTACTTTTAGTAGGTACTACTATTATTTATTCTGTGCTTTTAAAATATTGTAATAAAAAAATCTCTTATTATTATTATAATCAATTATTTAAGAAATTTGGTTATTCGAATATTGTGTATTTGTCTGCCGACTTCCAAAAAGGAGACGATACTCAATTCGACGTTACGTTACCTCATAACTTTTTACTGGGTGGACCGATTTCGATGATTCTTTTTTTATATGAAAGCTGATACTTCTTGTGTGGTCCCATATGAATTTGATCAAGGTCAGACCAATAGTTTTTGAGTTATTCTTAATAACTTATATTGAAGTCGGCTGTACAAAATTTTTAATTTTACAGCAATCTTTTTGAGCCGCTGCAAACAACCGAAACAATGTCCACTCACGACGGCGATTGACGCCGTACTGTACTCTATATAGTATATTATCTATGCCGAAATGAGTGAGTGAGTAAACTACTCTGTGGCTGTAGCTTCCCATTTACAGAAATAATTTACATACAAGGCTACCAAATCAACGAAAATTTCGCCAATTTGGAGCCGAAAAAAATTAATTATAGCTAAACAAAACAAAATTACACTGCCATTTACATTCAGTAGCTTCCCACATGATAGATGAAGAGATTTAAAAATAGATTGAGTTAAACAATTGATATTTTCAAAAGTGATCGTGTTTACAAGCCATGGGGACATGATAAATCCACACCATAAGCCAATAAAACCCCTTTTTTATTTAAAAAAAACCATTAATCAATTTAAAAAAATATTAATAAGTTCAACAATCATTTATCTTTCTAACAATGTGCTTTTTATATCATTTATATGTATAATATGATCGCTAGATACGATTTTTATTCGATAAAACGTTGGAATCTTAATTTTTAGACGATAGTAGAACATACCCTGCGCTTTCGCTTAAGGCGTGCAATAAAAACTCAACAAGTAGCGTGGGAAAATTAAGGAAATCAGACCAAATAATTCATATAGTTTTGAAAGTTGGTGCAGTTATTCCTTAAGGTGTCCAGATGAATATACTAAAATTAACCGGGGGAGGGACATACCGGCGGTGGGGGAGGGGGCAAGGTCTCCTTATTAAGTTTTTTTGCTTGTGACTCGAAAACTATTTATAGTATCTCTTTAGTGACTTCTACATAAATTATCTACATTAAATTTCCTATAAATTATGTCAAAACATGTTTACTGTACTATTAACACTTTAGGAGATACAGTGTATTAAAAATTATAAAAATAATAAACAAAATCGTTATAAAAAATTTAATTCTGAAAACTGATACAAATTTTTTTGCACGAGTATGCAGACTTATTAATCAAATTGTGTATCAGCTTCGTCATCTTTATCATCAACATCGATGGGGGCTCCATTAGTACAAGCTCCTAGGCAGCCGTTACAGTTAAGACTACACTTAATGCCCGCTTTTCGGCAATTGCATTTTCCAGAACAACCACTTTTATATCGACAAAAAATTGAATTCAACGTGTCAGGAGCAGGAGGATTCAAGGTCATGATTGGTTCTAAGTTTCCATCGATTCCTCGCTTCAAACCCCATATTTCAGGAGGCAGTTGGTTCCCAAGCCACTCCTATACTTGATGGAATACTCTGTAAGCATGATATTTCGCTGACTCTTTGGTAGGGGGGGAGGGAAGAAAGATCCGGTTTGGGCTTGGTACAAGACTTTAGAAAAACTGTGAATCGATATCTGTTAATCTCAGACTGAGTACAGGGCGCTCGGTATACTTCGAGAAACATTTTTTTTTCGGCTTCTGCTTTAACATTCGGAGTTGATGTTGGGTCATAAAATACTATACTGCTATTTCCTTTAGTAATGGATTTTGATCAAAAACTTGATAATTGATGTTAATTGATAAATGATTGTTTTGCCCTTCCTGTAAACAGCTGTGGTTGTATCACACCCACGGAAACTATGCAGAAAGAGAACAGAATAACAAAATGAATGTTTTTGAAATTCTTGGGAGGAAAATATTTTGGTTCCCACTTTCACTTATCCCGGTTTGACAAATAATATAATGAGACTGATGTTTATATCAACAGACGATTTCACCATCTCGAATGGAAATTTTGCCATCCTTCTTTGTTCAGATGCCAGTTTCTTACGTCATCGTATCCATCACACACGACGGTAGAATGTGGCCCGTATTGACATTTTACATAATTAAGGTACTGATCACATATGTCTGAGTAAGAGGAGCCCAATTGCCACTTGATACGGTGCAAAAGAAAGCCACCATCAAAAACCGTCACAC